CTCCCTCTCTCTCTCCCTCCCCCTTCCCCTACTTCCTCACTCCCTCCCTCCCTCTCCTATCTTTCTTACTGATTTATAGAAAATTTTTCCTTTAGGGGTTTTTGTTCTTTCTTAGGCAATCTTTCTCCACATGCTAACTCACCCATGCCCAGCTTTATATCCTACCAGCTTATTGTTTTCTTAATAGCTTTATTGAGATATAATTCATATAACATACAATTCACCCATTCATAGTGTACAATTCAATGGTTTTAGTATAGTCACAGTGTTGTACAACCATTACCAATCAATTTTAGGGTATTTTCATCACCCCCACCTCCCCCCAAAAAAAATTCCATACCCATTTGGAGTCATTCCCCATTTCCCTCCCAGCCCTAAGCAACTACTATTTTACTTTCTGTTTTTATGGATTTACTATTTCTGGACATTTCATATAAATGAAATCATACAATACATGATCTTTTTGACTGGCTTCTTTCACTTAATGTTCTCAAGATCCATCTATATGGTAGTATGTATCAGTACTTCATTCCTTTTTATGACTATTATTCTATTTTATAGGTATATCATATTGTTTATCCATTTATCAATCGAGCATTTGGGTTTCTACTTTTTTGGCTTTATCAATAATTCTACTATAAACATCTGTGTACAAGTTTTCATGTGAACTTGTTTTCAATTCTCTTGCTATTGCTGAGTCATAAGATAACCTTATGCTTAACTTTGTGAGGAACTGCCAAAGTGTGTTCCTCAGTGTCTGCATCATTTCATAGTCCCACTAGCAATGTATGAGGGTTCCCATTTCTCCATATCCTTGCCGACACCTGTTATTATCTGTCTTTTTTATTATAGCCATTCCAGTGAGTGTGAAATAGTATCCATTTTTTAAAATGTTTTTTTTTTGTGTGGTAAAATACACATAATATATACAATTTATGATTTGAACTATTTTAATCAGTTTTTTAATTATATAGAATGAACTCTCAAAAGAATGTTCAATTTTAAATATACAAAATCTGAAAACAAAAAGTATCTAAATAATTGTAATTATTTATCCAAGCAGTCTCTAAAAAATAATGGGTGTGTCCCAAGAGGTGTTTGTAAGTTAGTTACTTGGAAATCACTTTTCCCCCATAGGAACAGTGTATTAAACATGGGCATAATATCTCTACCTGAGTTAATAGATGAAGTGGAGAGTTCTTTACTCTTCTACCTATTTCAGTGCCAACTCTGAGTTACAGAACCTAGAGACCCTCTGGAGTTGCTATTATAGAAGCTCCAAGATTCTCATTGTGTGTTTTGCTGGATATTCCATTTCTCTGACAGATTACTCAAACTCCCATAGAATTCCTTGCCATGACACCAAAACTCTGAAGTGATAATTTGAGAGTTTTTTGTGGTGATAGTTTTGGAGGGCTCAACTACCTTATTGGATAGCACAGTTTTAGACTAAAGTGATTCCAAATGGAATCTGAGGGTTTCTTACTCTTTAGAGTGTTTGCGAATGTACTAATTGAGGCTCTTTGGTGGCTGCTATGGGACCAAAAGCCATCTCTGTAGTCATAGGCAGTAGATAGGACTTGCTTATATATGCTATTAGTACATTTAGTACTAATTTTAGGGTGTTTGTTCCAATTGATATTTTATATGCTCATTTAATAAAAGTGTTCTGTATGAATCTCATAGTTTTGACTCTTAAAAATATTATATATTCTTAGCAGCAGTAGGTTCTTAATGCTGAGCAAGAATTATCATGTAATTTATCAACTTGACATGCATTACCTTAATTCTAGTTGTGGGACAAGTGATAACTATTCAAATAATTGAGTAAAGAGATTTGAATAGTCATACCTCAGAACTAGGGAAATTTACTTAAGTATTGAATTCACTAGAGATTCTCGTAATAGTAATTCAAGCACTTATAGCAATAACTTTTTCTGGAGTTAGTTTTTTCTCCCTTTGGTCTGATTATGTCTAAATAATTAGGAATTGAAAAAAACAGGGAAGCTTACTTTTTCAGTCTAAGGATAAAGACAAATGTTGAAGACTCAATTATCTGTTTATCCTAATACTTTAGATTTCTGATGTCTACTTTTTTAATATTTTTGTTAATGTAACAGGTTTTTTTTTAAGCCCAAAGGTCCATAGACATATAAAATTGTAAACTTCTGAGGGCAAAAACTATGATTTATTCATCTTATTTTTTCTCTAGAACTGAGCACATTACCTTGAGCACAAAAAGCAATGAGTTACTCTATGATGAAATTTATCCAACTAATTTTCAGTTCCTTAGTGTTGATAAGAAACAAAAAATATATAAACTAAAATTTTCTTTGCATGTGTTTTCTTATAATAATTACATTTATTTCTGCTGCAAATAATAAGTAAGTTACAGGTTAATGTCACTTAGCATTTCAAAATTCACATTTACTGAAACATATCTTATAGGATGATTACTCATTTTTACAAAAGGATGCCTTTAAAAGATTGTAATTTAATAGATCAGATTTCTTCAAGTAACAAATTCTTAATACTTCAGCATTTTATTTAACAAATTTGCATTCATTCAGTAATGAACCAATTTGGGGAATTAAGTAGCATGTGTATATCAAACATCAAATTGAAAAGGTAAGCTTTTTTTATAGGCGAAAAATATTAAATGTGTGTACATTTAATTTAACAAACCTATCCTAATAATAGGTATTTTTATTTTATAGGGCAGAAAACTAAGACCTAACCTTGTCTGGAGTCACATGGTGAGTTTGCTGGACATCAAAATCAGAACCAAAGATTTCTGAATCCTAAGTTGCATGTTTCAAGATTTGGTGTTAAAGTGACTCATAAAGCTGATTGATGTCATTGATGTTGGTGCTTAGGTGACTCTGCAACTTGATGGATGACAACAAACCTTTTCAACCAAAAAGTAAGTATTGATTCTGCAAGCGATACTCATATATTTGGCTTTTGTACTTAGAACCTTGCTTCATAAGAAAAGATGAGTCAGTAGAGGTGGGCACATTTAAAAAGAAACACATTCATTAAAGTAATACATGCTCACACTAAAAAAGAATAGTATACAATAAAAGTGTTAGTAAAGGAGGAATGAAATGTTTCTTCCTCATCTCCAAAAGTAATTACTATTATCGGTTTGGTATATATAACCACAAACTTTTTTATGTATAGACAAAAAAATAAATATTTCTAAATGAAATCATACTGTATCTGCTATTATGTGCTTTTAAGTAATCTTTACTCAATAATCTATCTTGAAATATATTGACAGTTGGCAGTACCTAGTTAAAAGAACAAGGAAGACCTATGTGTCAATATGGTATCAAGACCATGGTATTATTAGTAGACATGATCTCCCTTATTTTTTAAAACTTGGCATTGCCTGACTGCCCATATATCATCATATATGAAGTGCCTACTGCATATCCAGTAGACTGCTGTGTATAATGGGAAATACGAAAGAAGAAGAAAATATGTTCTTTACTCTTACGGAGCTTACTATAGAGTCAGACATATATAGTTAAGACACATTAATAGAGAGCAATTTGAGATCATAAATAGTAAATCTTGAATTGCATGACATAGACTGTCAGTGTAGTAAGAGGTGGAAGAAAAACAAGGTCTAATGGTGTATTGAGTAAGTTATAATCCAATCAAGAGTTGGGAAGGGGCAGGGAATTGATTTTTTTTTTGAATATCTGCTTGAAGTTAGGTACTTTACATTTCATTTTCCTGAATTTACCTTACCACTTTGATTAGGTAGATATTATACCCTTATTAGAAAGGAACAAATTCGAGTAATCTCTGGAGTTACATGATTAGAAATGGTGCAGTGAAGATTTGAACTGTTCAATTCGATGTCAAGTTCATGCTCTTTCTACTATACTTGAATAATATAGACAGTATAAGGAGGAAGGATATTTTAGATGGAAAAAGGAGTACAAAGAGCTTCAAGAGACACAGGATTGTTTTTTCAAGTACTCAGAATATGCAAATGCTAAACTATGAAATGCTTTTTAATTTTACTTAGAACATTGTGTGTGTATAACTTTTAAAATTAATTTATTTTAATTAGTTTCCAGTATACAGTACATTGGTTAGACATTTATATAGTTTAGAAAATGAACCCCCTAATTGCTCCTTCTCTCCTCTGGTTTTCCACCTAGCCAATATATTAATGCTAACTGCATTCCCTATGCTATGCTCCCTATCCCCGTGACCATCTATCAACTGCTAATTTGTACTCCTTTAATCCTTCACCCCATTCTCCCAGTCCCCCCAACACCCCTCCCCTCTGTACAAATTGTCCACTATATTTGTATGTTTTTGATTAGTTTCTTAGATTCTGCATATAAATGAAATCATATGGTATTTATCTTTTTCTGACTTATTTCACTCAGCATAATATCCTCTATCTAGGTCCATTCATGTTGTTGCAAATGGTAGGATTTCATTTTTTTAATGGCTGAGTAATATTCCATTGTATATATAAACCACAACTTCTTTATCTAATTGTTGATGGACATTTAGGTTGCTTCCATATCTTGGCTATCATAAATTGTGCTGCCATGAACATAGGGGTTCATAGATCTTTACAAATTATTGTTTGAATTTTCTTTGGACAAATACCCAGAAGTGCAATTGCTAGGTCAAAAGGTGTATCCATTTTTGATTTTTTGAGAAACCTCAAAACTGTTTTCCATAGTGGCTGCACCAGTTTGCATTCTCACCAACAGTGTATGGGAGTTCCCTTTTCTCCGATCCTCGCCAACACTTGTTATTCTTTGATTTATTGATGATAGCCATTCTGACAAGTGTGAGGCGATATCTTATTGTAGTAATATGTTATTGACACATTTACTTTTTTCTATTTTTAAAGATATTCAGCAACTTAAAATTTTCATTTTTTAAAATTTCCTAAATTTTATTAAAATCTATAGTCAAGTTACCTCACACCTTTCTGTACCTCTTAACTCGATTTTCTACATGGTAAAACTTGTCAGGTAATCTAACAATTTTAATTGTGTATGAGAGAGAGTGTGTGTGTGTGTGTGTGTGTGTGTGTGTGTTTTCTCCTGGAGACATTCCTCCTGGGAATAATGTTCTCCTGCTCTATTCTGCCTGGTTGCTCTCTAAACCTATTGAACAGCTATTGTACTGGGACTTTCCTTTGTCTTTGTATTGTATAAAATGTCAGATTTTCTGCATACTATGTCTTCCTCATTTTTCTTTGTGTCTCATATTTTAGTGGATTTTTTTCTAAGATAGAAAGGGTGAATGGGAGGTAATTTTTGTGTCTTTATTCTCAATGAAAGAATATGTACTTCATGCTTGATGAAAATCTTCACTGAGTTTAGAATTCTAAATTGAAAATTGTTACTAAGACTTTGAAAGAAATATTTTCTTCTCTCTCTCTCTCTTCTCTCTCTCTCTCTCTCTCTCTCTCTCTCTCTCTCTTTCTTTCTTTTTGCATGGTTCTTTAAACATTTT